CTGTAGTCCCAGCTGTTTGGGAGGCTGAGGCAGAAGGATCACTTGAGCCCAGGAGTCTGAGGTTGCTGTGAGCTAGGCTGACACCACGGCATTCTAGCCTGGGCAACAGAGCAAGACTCTGTCTCAAAAAAAAAAAAAGAAGGAGAATTAGTCCAGAATGACAGATTCAAAATTATAAAATGTTAAAATTCTGTACATTCTATTTAATATGTAAATGTAAAGATTTACAGTAAATTAGAAGAAGCTTTAAAAAAAATTAAAGTTAATGGGTTTAAGACATATCCACAGTGGGTTACAATGAATAAAAAGTTACTTAATATGCTATATTATTTTTGTTTAAAGAGTGACAAGAGAGGGAACTTTCAATTCATCCACTAGCATTTTAGAAAAAAATTACATAAAACTTTATTAACTATAGTGAAATAATCTACAAATTAAATTTCAGGTCCATAATATAACCATTCAAAGGACAGAGAGACTTAAAAAACAAAGAGGATAGAACGGGGAGGGGCAGAAAAGGAGTGAGAAGAGGCAGGAAAGAGGAAGAACAGCTCTTGGGGAAGAGAGAATGAGAAAAAAGAGAGGAAAAGAAAGGCTTTTGGGGAGACAAAAGAAGAAAGTACACGAGAGGAAGAAAGAAAAAAATGGAAGCAAAAGGGGGAACTAAAGGGAACTGAAGGTCCCTCAATGCCCATCAGACATGAATCCCAGGCTTGTCTGGTAATTCTCAGTTTTGGTGGGGAGAACAGGTGGTGAAGACATATTCCCCTATAGCCTGAATTTTCTGGTCTGGAAGGACATGAAATACCTCTGCTTACAGCTTCTATCTGTTTGTGCACAGCTGCAGATAAACAGGTAGACCCTGAAAAGAGGAAGAAGGAGGTACCGTTTGTCCTAGGAATTTTTGTCTTTCTCTTTTCCACCCACTGTCCCATCCTTTCTTACCTCCCATGCCCACTTTGGAGCCCTGTATTTTTACCTATCTAAATCTTTTCCCCACAGTTTAATGGGGGGAAAGGTGGAGTTAGGCAATAAACATTTGAAAAGTACTCATAACTAAAGAAATATAAATCAAAGTGACAAGGAGAGACTAGTATTTTTACCTAATGAATAGGAAAGACATTTATGTGTTTTCACAATCATCCTGGCAAAGGTGTCAGTAAACAGGTACTCCTAGAACCTGCTAACAAGAGGGCAAATTGGTACAAACTGTCCAGAACACAGTTTGACAGTATCTAATAAGATTTATAATATACACATTCTTAGATCTAGCAATCCCACAGCTAAGAATTTACCTTAAAGATTTTCTCATGAAAGTTCATCAGGATACATATACTCATTGCATATAAAGATGCTCATTGCAGCAATGTACAAATAACAAGAAAGTGGAAACAAAGAATCCATCAAAAGGGGAGCTTAAATAATTGTGCCATCTTAGCGAGATGGAATAGGTGCCTTTTAAAAGAATGAGGTAAAGCTGGGCACAGAGGCTTTATTTCATTCCCACCTACTCAGGAGCCTGAGCCAGGAGGATTGTGTGAGCCCAAGAGCTCAAGACCAGCCTGGGCAATAGTGAGACCCTGACTCTACAAAAAATAAAATTAAAAAAAAATTAGCCAGGTGTTGTGGAACACACCTGTAGTCCCAGCTACTCAGAAGGCTAAGGCAGGAGGATCACTTAAGCCCAGGAGTTTGAGGTTGCAGTGAGCTATGATCACGCCACTGCACTCTAGCCTGGGTGACAGAGTAAGCCCTTGTCTCAAAAAGAATGAGGTAAATTTTTTTGGTGCTTATATATCTCTACGATGTATTATTAAACAAACCAAAAAAAAATCAAAGAAGGTTGCTTATAGGATCCTCTGTGTGCAATTATTTAATAAAAAAAGTAAAAACATGTAGATACTTGAGGATATATTCCTTTCCTTTCTTGAAAAGAATTATAAAAATAGTGGGTCCATTAAGGGTAGACAGGAAGGGCTTTTAGTTTTCATTTTGGGCTTTTTTCTACTATTTGAACTTTCTAACCTTATACTGTATATTTCTTTCTTTCTTTTTTTTTTTTAACAAGCAGATTATAACCCATTATTTTTTTCCTTTGTACTTTTCTGGTTCAAAAAAAAAAAAGAAAAGAAAAACCAACAAGGCTGGGTTACAGTGGCTCATGCTTGATTACCATAGTGAGACCCCATCTCTACAAAAAACAGAAAAATTAGCCGGTGTGGTAGCACACACCTGTAGTAACAACTACTCAGGAGGCTGAGGCAGGAGGATCTCTTGAGCCCAGGAGTTGAAGGTTGCAGGGAGCTATGATGATGCCACTGTACTCTAGCCTGGGCAATAGAGCAAGAAC